CTCCCCACTCTGTCTCTGGTGAAGCCTCTCACCGCCCCTGAGCCTCTGGCCTGCACCCCAGTTCTGTATGCACAAATAAATAAATCTTTAAAAAAAATCAAAAAAAGAAATAGACAAAGCTACACCCAAAAAAACCCCTAGAAATAGCCCTGCAAAATTGAGGCTAATAGAATGAAGGGTGGGGGAAGAGGCCCAATCGCCTATGGTGGGAGACTGTGCTGTTTGGTGGTGAGAAGCTATTGTAATATGCATCTATAGAAGTGTGGCCCTATCCCCTAGATCATGCACAGTGTTGTAAACCAATGTTACCTCAATAAAAATGTGTGTTACCAAACAGATGAAAATCAATTAAAAATTACAATAATGTGAATCAAAAAAAAAAAAACAACAACAAGTAAATGTGTTATTCACATAGCTAAAACATGGGAACAACATCAAGGCCCAAAGGCATCACTGGATGTGGGCATTGTGGCCTATGAATAGAACACTACTCAGCGATCAAAATCTTGCCTTTCGTTACAATATGTGTGGAACTTGAGGTGATTAGGCTGAGCCAAGTAAGTCAGGGCATAAATGACAGAGATTGGGTTGTTTCTTCTCAGATGTGGAATAGAAATAACCCACCAGACAAGTCTCAATAAAAGTCACTCTGAGTCACGAGAACATAATAAGAATAATGAACAGCCATATACTAGAGACATTTTGTGGGGGTGGAGTGGGGAATGGGATCAAAAACAGTGGGGGGAGGGAAGATGAAAAAAAATAAACTATTATATAAAAATAAACATATTATAAAAGTAAAAAAAAGTCACTTTGCCTCTCTGCAAATTGAGTGGTGACGAGAAGGTCATCGCTTCCAGCACCTAAGCTCAGCCTCCTCTTCAGCGGAGATGAGAGGTGGCTCTGACCTGATCTCAGTGTACACTCACCCACCCCATTTTCTCCCTCTCCCGCCGGACAGAAAATGCAATCAGTCGCTGAAGATGAAGCGCTTTATTCAGAAGAGAGGTGGAATCCATTGTCCTGAAAGTATCGTCAGGGAAACTGAGCAGGAGCAAAGTCCAGTGCACCAGTTGTGTCCCTGGAGAACCGTCCTCCAGCGTCCAGGGGTCTCCCACAGGGCCCAGAGCGCAGAGGTAAGTTAACATCAAGGGGATAAAAAGGAGCAAACTGAGGTAGCCTTGGGGAAAGAGGAGTTCCAGGAACGCAGAGAGGACGGGAGCCGCAGGGCCAACAAGCCTTAGGGCTTCTCACAGCGCCACTGTTCCAGCTTCTCAGAGCAGAGCGGTTTTCGAGCCAACCTGATGAGAATGAGCGAGGGGGAGTTAGTTGACGGGATCTCCGTTCGAGCTTTCCTCCAGTTTTATCCCCAAGAGGGCTGAGGTGGAAAATTACAGGAAGCTTCTCCTAGACAGAGGGCAAAAGACTCTGAACCACCTAATGGGGATGAGTCCCTTTTTAAAAAAACCTGTAGTGCTTGCAGGGCTTCAGACTAAACAAGTAGAATCAGACGTCCAAAGCCAGCTGAAGAAAGGTCTGGGTCTCAGGCTCCATTAGGGGGCCATTCATGAGGAAAATTATTAAACATGAGTGAAGAGAGGGAAGCTTGAAGTTTAGAAACCTGAGTCTGCTCAATAAGGTATGCTTTGGAAACTGTTCTAGTTTCCAGAAAATGAGGGGATGGGTTGCTGGGGGGCAGGGGTGGGAAAATAACTAACGGTAAGAAGGAGGGAAAAGGGAAAGTAAACAATGTATTGGGGAATCACCAGTGGTCAATTCCTTCTTTATCAAGGATCTTCCGAGCGCACATCATGTCATCAGTGAGGTCATTGTCCACCAAGTCTGGCGGGAGTTACAGAAAAAGGAATGAGAAAGGTAAGTATTACCCATAGAGAAATGCGTTCCTTCCTTCCCTAGGTAGAGCCCTCTGTGAGAGGCTTTCATCTTTCGCCTTTCTCTGGAGAAACCCGGGCCTCCTCTGAGGGAGGGAGGGACTCCTTCACTTCTCTGGACATCGTTAGGGCAATGTCAGTTCATCACCTTATTTACTCTGAAAAGGCCCTGTCAGAGTTCAAGACTCCCAGAAAGCCCATATGGTTTACCTGCAAACTGCAAGGGACTGTGAGGATTTAGTGATCAGGAAAATTCTATTAGCATCTGGCCCTCCCTGATGGTGCAGAAGGTTAAAGCACAGCACTAAGAGGCTGGAGCCACTTCAGCATGAGTTCGATCCCCCCCTGCCCCAGAGGTGACCACATGGTATGGCAGACCTCTCCTGACCCGCCCACTGCTCCCCTCAGCAGTGTCTCATCAATCGGCCTGTTCCGCTCCCCATTCTGTGCCTGATGAATCTTCTCACTGCCCCTGCAACCCTGGCCTGTACCCCAGTTCTGTATGCACAAATAAATAAATCTTTAAAAAAAAAAAATTCTACAAGCTTCTAACTTAATGCCATCAACTCAACTCCTATAGCTGATGTGAAGGCCAAGTCCGTCAAGTCAGGTATGATTAACGCCAACAAGGAGATTATCCTGGGGTGGGCGCCAGGAAAACATAGAAATGGGGTTAACAAGGCTACTCACTGTCACAGGAGATGTCACAGAGGTTCTCTGAGTCCAGATTCTGGTTGTCTCTACACCAAAACTTGTTACTGATCTGGAAAAGTCCATATTCTGTAGTGCCGTTGTTACTGACTACGGCTTGCGTGTCACAACCACTGCTATGAAATATAATACAGATCCCTGCGGGCAAGAGAAGAAGGCGGTATCACAGAGATGGCCGGTCTCTCCGTCAATGCCCACCTATGGCAAAGCACAGAGCTTCTTTTTTCTAATTAATAAATTAAGATTTATTAATTTATGGATGCATACAAGACTAGGTGTATTAGGGTGCAGGCCAGAGGTGCAGGGGCGGTGACAGGATTCACCAGAGACAGAGTGGGGAGCAGAACAGGCAGATGGACTGAAATCCACTGCTGAGGGGAGCAGCAGGCGGGACAGGAGAGGTCCACTGCACCTTGTGGGCCACTCCCTGGCCAGGGATTGAACTCGGGCTGTCGCAGTGATAGTGCTGGGACTTAACCCGTAGGCCATCGGCACAGAAGGCCCATCTCAGAGTTTCTTGATGGGATAAAAAGGTTCAAAAAGAATAAGAAAATGGGAGAAAGCGTAGATAGGGGAATATATTTTTTAAGTAAACAAGTAGGCAATATAAGACGGTTATTAGATAACAGAATAAAAGACGAAGAGAAAAGCAGAGTGCATGGAGGGTGGAGGAGAGGAGCGAAAGAAGGGGATGAACCCACATTCCGGCAGGGTGACGCCCTGGTAGCCGTCCATCTCCTTCAGCTCCTGGAACAGCTCACATCTCGTTAACAGCCTGGCCTGGGTGGCAGGGACCAAGATGCCCACCAGGAGCAGAGAGACGAAGGACATCATTCTGGCTGCCCCGGGGACCTGCTGGGGCCACGGCTCAGCTCCATGCCTTTTATTTGCAGAGAAAGCCTCGGGGGCCTGGCTCCGAGCCCGGGGTCCAGGAAGTCTCCGGAGAGAAATTGGCGGTGCCAGCTTCCTTCCACACACTTTTCCTTCCTCCCCCCCAATCTCTGGTCTGTACCTTACATTGTTCTCTGTCCCCAGAGTGTTCCAAGCCTGGTCCGATTTCCCTTCACTTCTGTAGGGTTGGTTCTAGGAAGCAGGCTGTCCCCAGCTTCTCTCGGGAACATAGGGGCCTGGGGGTGGTACAGATGAAGCCGTCAGGAAATACAATGAAGAGCCATAGCCAGCCCCCTCCTTAGAGATATACAAAATGTGGAAAAGTGGGGGGTGTGGTACCAATGCCGGGTCTGGGGTGAGAGCTGACACTTGTCCAGTCAGCCCAGCCATGAGCCAGTGCCCAGGGAGAGGTCCTCGATGCTTCGGAAACAGGCAGAGGGTGGCAACACAGGCTGTGGGAGCCTGACTCAGATCCAGAGACCTGCTGACACAGAACGTGAAGAGCTGCAGAAGTCGGTATGACAGTGTGTGCTGTCCCCAGCTCCCCATCTCCAGTCACCACCACCACCACCGGACAACTAGACAGTCTACTAAGTTAGACCCTAAGTAAGACGGTGGAAATCTAAGACGAACCATTTGTAAGGCATCTATGTTCATGTATATATGTGTGTGCGTTCTATGTAAGAAGCTTGTAAAGAGCCTCAATGTCGGCCACAGGTTAACTGGAGTGACCCAAGGCCGTAAGAAGATTGAACTTTAAGGACTTTAAGACTGCATTAGCTTTTTTTTTGAAAGGTTTATTTATTCATGCATACAAGAACTGGGGTACAGACCAGAGATGTGGGGGGTGAAAGGATTCACCAGAGACAGAATGGGGAGCAGAGCAGGCAGATGGACTGAAATCCACGGCTGGGGAGCAGCAGGCAGTTAGGAGAGGTCTGCCGTGCCATGTGGGTCAGCTCCCTCACAAGAATAGAACTCATGCTGCAGTAGCTGTGGGCAGCTTCCTAGCGCTGTGCCTTAAACCCTTGTGCCACCAGGGAGGCCTCTGCATTAGGTTTTATCTGGAGCCTAGAAAGAAAGTTTTGGATCTAATGCTTAAGGTCAGCCCTACTGAGCAAGTAGAATTGAGGATACCAATTTTGAAAAATTCTGCTGGCACCAAGCTTCATGCCGCAGTGCTAACAGTTGTTAGTCTGCTTCATACCAGGGCTTGGGTCCTGACTCTAAACCTCTTTTCTTATATTGTAGTGGCTATATATCCATCCTAACCAGACTAAGACTTCCAAACTACAGGTCGTCCCAAACTGTTGCATAACAACTCAGAATTAGGGCAAACTCCTCTGCTTTCTATCCACACGGATAACCAGTCTATGAAGCGGTGTGATGGAGGGAGTGTGGAGGAGCGTGGTCTGCAGAGACATGAGCAGATAGTACTTTAGCAAGGAACCCAGAGCTACAGCAAAAATGCTGCCACTTCCTGTTGCCCGCCCCCCCACCCCTCAGGCCT